CGTGGTTGCAGCGTGCTCGCGGAACACACCATGATGCGGTACATAGTACCCGGCATCGCTCTCACATGGCTCCAGCTCAATTGCTCCAAGCTCGCGGTACTCCCTGATCAGCACATCATCATAGAGCGCACGCTTCCCATTCCTCTTCAGCTTTTCAAGAAGCCGCGTTGCGATGACTCTAGCTTGAGCAAAGTTATCCGTTGGCCGACGCTCATTTCGCCACAAGAGACCCACTTGGTACCCGCTGCCCTGGCGACATAGCGGGAAAGATGGCAGGTGCTGATGTTGTTCTGGAGGTTCATCCAACTGCCATAGTTTGTCGATGTGGGCTGTGACACATGACACGGTCACCGGCTGACTGTTTCGACTTGGTGCAGACGCTGGACCAGATAATACATTACCTATCTCTGTGTTCCACACCGTCTCACCATTAACTTCCTTCTTGCTGTGCAGTACCGCGTTGATATAGTCTGCACCAATCAGCATATGTATTTCGTCTGATGTCCCTTGTTGAGGCTTGTCACTCAGCTCTACTCCCCAACTGTGCCACTGCGCAATGGTCTGCGGACTTGCGCACTTCAGGTCCAGCTCAAGCGTTGGTTTCTCGAACGCGCGTACCCGAATGCTAGCGGAGCTACCCTGGATCGTGATGGCGTACTTATCCATGCGCTGTTGGGTTGGTTCCGCGCCGAACGGCTTCACCTCTACATTTTCAACCCCAACGTGTTCTGCATCGATTGCTGACACCAACGCTGCAGTCACGAATGACGCCTCAGCACCCGAGTCCAGGAACACGCGAACCTTCGCGTTTCGAGTTCTTCCCTCAACTCGTGCCACTCCGGTCATCAGCCGCACACTTGGCGAGTGTAGACAGCACGACCCAACATTCTTCTCCGTAACTATCTCAGTCGGTTTCTCCCGGCTGTAACCTGCTCTATCCAACACATCATGTATTAGCAGGTGGTGTTTCCTCTGGCATTTCGTGCATCTCGAGCCTGACCGACATTCTCTGGCCATATGGCCATACTTAAGGCAGTTCCAGCAGAGTCTCTCTCGCTGCAGAAAACCCTTTCTCCCTTCCTGTGGCAGCGACTTTAGCTGCTTCTCTGCATCTGCGACCGATATCGCCATGCACTGTGCCGACGCCGTGGGCCTTGGCACGGATCGTTCTACTGGCTTCCTGGCAGTATCACCCTGTCGTCCGTGCGCGACCTGGTAAGACGCGCCGTGCTCCTGTACCTGGCGCAGTGACATCCCGTAGCACTGCCGTTCGACCAGGTACGTCTTCATCTCAGGTCCGCATTGCTCCAAGATTACCTGCTTTGCCATTGCTTGCAGCACCGGGGACATTTTTCCTATATCGGCGCTATACTTGGTGTCCACCTCGCCATCTTCTGTCATAGCGAGTGTGGCCCACACCTCTACCTCTCGGCAAACACGGACAACGTATTGATGAAACGACTCATCTGACCGCTGCTTGCCTGTCAGCAATGTCTTCCACGCTTTATCCGGAGTCTTTCCGAGCGAGGCAAGCAACTCTCGCTTTGCTTCCTCGTAATTGTTGCATCCAATACATATCCTCTCCGCTTTGCTACCCGCTAGCGCAATGCGCAGTCGCAGCAGCCATTCGCTTTCTTCGAACTCGTTCTTGGAACAGATGTCCTCGAACAGGTCAAGATAACGCTCCAATGGCTGCGTTCCATCATATGAGGGGATTTTCATCACCGGTTGACGCCCACCGCTGTGACTGGGAGATTCCTCTGTACCTCCCATCGTGGCTTTACCCTCACCCTCCTGCGCATTGGCGATGCGCTCGTTAATCTCCTTTAGTGTTTTGGCAAACTCGGTGCGGAGCGCCTCCTCTCGCCGTCTGGCACTGCGCTCCTCACGCTCCGCGTACTGTTGGAGCCTCTGCTCCACATGTACCTTCAACAACTCGCCTTCTAATCCTAACCGCTCTCCATTGTCGATAAAGCTGGCTTCCAAATTGTTCCATAGTTCCTCTGCCATGCTCGCTCCTATCCTGGCGTGGTCGCCAAATGTTATGAACCCTCTAAGATTCTCTAAATTGTCAGGATCGTACGACCACACGGCACGAGGACAACTGGTTTCCTTTACACAGTATATTTCACTTCATCTGATAATTAACAATGAACACTAATAACACCAGCTCTTTATAGCATGCAAAAACAGCGTACATGCAAAACATAAGCATATAAAACTGGACATAACAGCGTATACAGCAAAAACACACACAGCGCATATAGCGTATGCCATGCAGCAACATCAGCGGTACGGCGGAGTCGAAAGACAACATTGCGACGAATACAACGCCATAAGCGCGAAGGCCTTTCCCAATTGAGAACTGGTGGTTTGCAACACCCCATCTAGTAGGGCGCAGTCACCCAGTTTCGGTGGAAGTGCGCGAGTTCGATTGGGATTCAAGTAGGAAGGGAGCGTCTCAGGTTCCTCGGACCACGAGTCCACGACCATTCGACTCAGCACCCCGAAGACTACAACTGGTGAAATTTTTATTTTTGCCTTAACTTCCCCTTTAATAGTTACCTGCCAATACTTCATGCACTGTATGTGCATCATGCCTTCAGAGGGGGGGGGGGGCATTAATTGCCTTTATTTATTTATTTATTACAACATCTCAAGACTCAGTGGAAACACCGGCCAATGTTAAAGGGGAAGTTAAGGCAAAAATTAAAATTTCACCAGTTGTAGTCTTCGGGGTGCTGAGTCGAATGGTCGTGGTCCGAGGAAGCTGAAACGCTCCCTTCCTACTTGAATCCCAATCGAACTCGCGCACTTCCACCGAAACTGGGTGACTGCGCCCTACGAGATGGGGATTTGTATGCAAAATGTCACTAAAAGCGCCATTTCGTTCTTATAAAAGCACGGATGACCGCGATTGGCCCATATGTTGTAGTCTTTTGGACGCTGAGTCGACTGGTTTTGGTCCGAAAAGGCTGCGATGCAGCGTTCCTCCCTTATTCCCAATCGAACATGGTTGAACAAGCGGTCACGTGCTCCTGCGTACACCAGTCACCTGGTCACCGTGCCTGCAGGGTACAACTTACAGCCTGTTTTGACCTTTTTTGGGTGCAGTCCTGTCACTCGAGTTGAACCTTGGTGTGAAAGTTGTCGCCTGCTGGCGTGGTGACCAGGTGATTTTGGCACCCAGGAGCACGTGACCGCTTCTTCAACCATGTTCGATTGGGAATAAGGGAGGAACGCTGCATCGCAGCCTTTTCGGACCAAAACCAGTCGATTCAGCGTCCAAAAGACTACAACATATGGGCCAATCGCGGTCATCCGTGCTTTTATAAGAACGAAATGGCGCTTTTAGTGACATTTTGCATACAAATCCCCATCTCGTAGGGCGCAGTCACCCAGTTTCGGTGGAAGTGCGCGAGTTCGATTGGGATTCAAGTAGGAAGGGAGCGTCTCAGCTTTCTCGGACCAAGACCATTCGACTCAGCACCCCGAAGACTACAACTGGTGAAATTTTAATTTTTGCCTTAACTTCCCCTTTAAGAGAGTGGGTGATTGCCAATAAAATCATATTTCACGGTTCGCGTGAGACTCGGCCAAAGGCCCAGTTTTCCGCATCCGCAGGAACGCCACCACCCTCTTGGATCAAGGCGCAGATGCAGCTCCTAAGCGGTGGGAGGTGAGTAGATCAGACCCACCACAAAGTGGTCAAAGACCGAAATCCCATTTACTGCATCCATGTTTCCCTCGTGCCAGGCCACGAGTTCCCAATTAACTGTGGGTCGCAGCACGGCTGGAAAAAATCCTTCCGCTTCTTTTTTAGGACTTGAACCTGGTACCCTCTGTTTCTCAATCATGGTCTTAGACCATCCCACCATGCCTGCCTGCCAACCACGGCGATAAATAAAAGTAAGGGGAGGGAAAAGAAAGAGTAGCAAAATGAACAGCAACAACAACTCCGTAAAGAAAGATAATGTCAAATAAAAACAGTGAAAAACATAGAGACGCAAAGGACATGTGAATAATGCCTTCGGGGGGGGGGGGGGGGGGGGGGGTACATGTAGATGTAAACAGTCTTGGTGCTATGTAAATCTACTAGCAAGTACTGAGTATTTAGGGCTGACCAAAGCTAGCTCATCCACCACGCTCATTCACTTTCCTGGTGTCGAGATCAGGCTAGTCATCGCAAGGCCAGTGACAACGTCAACGGTGCAGGCTGCCAGTGGGCTCCACACAATGATATTACGGCATGATGCATGTCCTAGACCTCTACATATGTCATGCTATGTATGGAAATAAGTCAGGTGTAACTCCACAACTACTTACAAAGACTGAGAGAGAAAGAGAGAGAGAGAGAGAGAGAGAGAGAGAGAGAGAGACTTCAAGTTGGTGTTCCAGTACTTCTTAGTTCTACTGGGTCATCAAGGTCATGCATGGTGTGATGACCAAGTGCTACGAAATCTATGGATAGACATCCAGTAGTCTGCCAGTAGAAGCCAGGGTGTTTACACCAAGACCAGGGTTCAAAGGTTATACGCCCCTAGTCATGTCGAGGTCGCAACAGAGTCAGTCATGCATGACACCATGCATGTAAACTTCCGGATCATGGCCATCAGGTCTCGTGTTACGATGGCATGATCCAGAAGTAACCCACCAAACTCCTTGCCTGAAGTAACTTAGTTTCTTGCGTGGACTTGGTAGTAGATGTACTGTACGACTCTCTGCTGTACAGGCATGTAGACCTACACTATTTGTACTGGTTATGTGTCTCCTCTTTGCTATCTCTGCGAAAATGGTGTGCTTAGCCAATTGGTGAAATACATACCCTTTTGAGACGGTTTTGACACATTGTACTGGCAGTTGTAGTTCTACATCACGCGAGTCTGTGATGACTCCTGTCAAAGTAAATGACCCTGGTTCGAAATCTTCCATCCCTCTGCTGTCACGAAGAAGCAGACAACAAAATACCAAAGAAATCGTCACTTACTTCGACTGACTCTATCACCTTTTTTTATAATCTTCTTCTGCTATTGTCGTCCCTTCCTCGCCAGCGTTGGATCTAGTCAACATTCAGGACATTGGATCCTTCGAGCGTGTGCCGCAGAGGCAATAACCGTTGGCAACTGTGGCCATTCCCATCCGCGCAGTGATGCGTCCTGGGGTCAGTGTCCGACCAGCATGGCTGGCGAGCATGTTGCCATTGTTGGTGATGGCTCTATGGCTCGACGGCCACTGCAGCGTGCAGGCTAGCGCTCTGCACATGGAAAAGCTGCAGGAGAGCGCACAGGAACTGGGTGGGGGCGGTGGTGTGGCGAAGACGGTGTGCTGCGGACACGAAGACCATCGCTTCGCCTGCATGGAGGTACGATGGCTGTACGAGCACAGTGGAGTTTGTTTGAACTTTGACTTGACTCGGGAGCAATCATTGAATTCATTGGGCTATATTCTTGCCTGCTGTTATGTTCTGGGATGAATATGGGCTGCGGTGGATATGTGGTGAAATTAATTTGTAGTGCGATAGTCGAATCACAAGAGTGCCATTGAGTCAATCTTCAATCTAGAGCTGACAACTGGACGTGAACATGGTGTCAAAGAGTGACCAATGGTAGAACCACATGATTACAATCGTCCAATTCAATACAGGGACCCGCGTTCACCCATTCCTTTGCATGTACATGTACAGGATTGCATGTACATGTGCCACATTGCCATGTTCAGTCATTCAGTCACCACATACAGTAACAGTACTATCAGAGAGATTAGTGTGATGCTGTGGTATCTCCCCAGTACCCAATGCAAACGGCGTGTGTGTTCATTCTCACCCGGGCGGTGTTCTGGTGGTGGTGCTGCTGCTGCTGTTGTTGTTGCTGCTGTTGACCAATTGTTGCTGCTGCTGCTCTCACCGCGTCTGTTGTGGCAGATGGTTCGATATCTATACCTAAGCAGTGGATACTTACCTGGTCTAGAGATGATGTCATCAGGTGTGGATGATGACATCATAGGTCTGGGACTGGGAGATGTGAGGAGCCGTGAGGACAGTGTCTGGGCAATGCCTGAGCTATGTAAGCATGATGCTGTTGTGCTGCTGGACAAGACTCATCCATACGTCAAGTAAGAGCACTGGTGTTTGTGTGCCATTGTGTGCACATGTATATGTGGGGGGGGGGGTGCGGGCGCGTGTGCGGGCGTGTATTTGTGTGAGAAGGAGGAACTGCATTGATCAACACATGATCTGAATGAAACCACGAGCGTATACATGTACCTGGAGTGGACACACTTCTACATCACCTCACCTGTCATTGCCATCGTTGTCCCTTCTCTCATAACAAAATTGCTTTCATAGCAGCACCCTTATCTAGCAAAGCGAGACATAAGTCTGTGTGTGTGTGTGTGTTTGTGTGTGTGTGTGTGTGTGTGTGTGTGTGTGTGTGTGTGTGTGTGTGTGTGTGCATGTGTGTTTGCAGGCACCTAGAAGATGTGCGAGACGATATCAAGGGACTGGGAAAGGAGTCACACCACACACGTCGGACACAATGGGCACAGCTAGAAGACCACCACGAGCCAGGTTCAAATGACATCTTGACTGTGATCGGTGGTGGCCATGAGGGTGTTAAGCATGGAGCTTATGAACTGCTGGAGCGATACGGTGTTCATTTCAGAATTGAAGGTGATCAACAAGTGTTTGCACGGCCATTCAATGTTTTTATAACAAACATTCTGATGTACAGTGAAACCTGCCCTGACCGGACACCCTTGATGAAGCGGAAACCGTCCTGATATGACAGGACTCCGCTGGATCCATGGTGGCATGGATGCAAGTTTGATGCACAGCACTTTGGTGCATGACAATTTGTCCAGTCAATACAGGATTCCGCTTGTTACAGGGTCCGGAAACACATGTTTTACGGCACCAGTACAAGGCAAGAGAAATCATGCCTTTGACCGAGACATCATTACTGGCCAGAGTATTCTGCGAAAGGCTTTCCGAGCAGGCAGTTGTGTGTGATGTGCTCTGTGCCTGTGACCTGCAGGTGACATTCTGCCAAGCAGAACAAGCTGGAGTCGACAGCCGCATCAGCTGCTGAATGTTAGAACGACTGGCACGCCAACATTCGACATTCGCGGTCTCCAGCCCTTCCATGACTTTGTATGTGCCATGTCTACAGCAGTGCAGTAGAGGAATACACTCATACCTCGGTTGTCCGGACTCCAAAGTAGTAGTTACGGCCACTTCGGTCTACCGGGCACCCTTCGGGCGAGTTTCAGTGGAAACATTACTACTCTTCTGTCACTTTTTGTGGAAACAGTGACGTCATATACCATATCTATGGCCTTTCCCAATCAAAATGTATGTGATTTGGAGTTACGGACTTTTCAAAGTTACGGGCAGTGCCCGGTCCCGGATCGCCCGGATAAACAAGATATCAGTGTAGGTGTTTTCAGCTGTTTTGCATCATTCCCAATCCATGTTTATAGTAGCTGATACCCTATACACTGAGTGCCTTTCAAATGTTGCCGCCCCAATGTTGGTCAGTCAAACCATGTACTTTACTGTGGTGTTGCCTAGTTTGGAGGTGGGGGGGGGGGGGGGGGGGATCACCCAACAATGCTACAAATGTCTGGTGTCTATACATGATGGCAGAGCCGCTGAGCTCCTACCTAGTGGTTCAGTTCATTAATGTATTCTGTTCTTCTGCGTATGATGATGGTGTGCAGCCGGAAGGTCCGGACTGGTGGGGTGAAAGCATGTACAAGGCAATCTTCTCTCAGCTCAGGTAAGGACAATCCAATACCGGCCAATTTGGTGTGTTGCCTTCTCCCCCCCCCCCCCCCCCCCCCACACACACAAACACACACACACACAAACACACACACACACACTACCCGAGGAGTGATCTTCAGTCGATACTGCGTATCTTCGTTTAGCTGACTTAATTATGACATTCGGAGTTTCAGCGAACTTCTCCTCTGTCCTTGCTCTATGGAGCTCCATCCAGTTGCGACAAGAATTCATATCACAGTTGAGAGACGTTCCGCCGTGTGGTTCTTTTTCACCTTACCGGGTTAAAGCCCTCTCTTGAAGCCCTCTGGGAAGCCTTCTGTTGAAAACAGCCTCCCTTGAAGGACTAGGCTGTTGAGGTTAGATCAGGAAGCCCTGTTCCACTAACTGGCTGTTGTCTTGTGTTGTGCATCTGCAGCAAGATGAGAATGAACTTCTTAGGCCTTCACACCTACCCTTACTCAACCACACCGGGAACAGGCAGGGATGAACCAACAGTGTGGGTTGGCCTCAAGGTAAGAATCGGTGCCTGGAGTGGGTTGTTTTCACAATGCACCTCACTACCTGGAATGGGTTGCTTTCACAATGCATCTCGCTACCTACGACGGAGCCAGACAACAGAGTAGGAGGCGGATACTGTTTTGTATTCTAAGTTAGTACATGTTGACAAGCATTACATGCTCAAAAGTATTACATGATTGACCAAGATCCAACCAGAACCGTGATGTAGAAACGTGGTAGAAATCTGCCAGTACTTGACGTGTTTTGCTACGCCTGGTTGCCAGGAAAGTACATGTTTGATCTTCTTTCGTAGCACTCCTGCGCGTACGTTGAAGCGCTCACATTCATGGTCTTTCGCTTTCCATGTGATGTACTTGCAAGTGACCTCAAACATATTCCTATCAGTGTGGTGTAATCAATCGGCTGCCTTTCGCTCCTCTAACAGGAAGATGTCAATGAAGATGGAACTGTAAAAGCAAGCTACCCAACCAGCTATGCCAACACAATGAGAAACCAATGGGGAGACTCATCCCTGCCAACCGGGAACTATCACTATGGAGCCAAGGATGTGAGTTACTCAACTCTGAGACTCTCTACTGCCTCGTATGTGTACATGTCGAGTGGTGGTTGTAACTTGTAAGTGAAATCCAGCCTCAGTGACTACAGCAGAGCCACGTTTGCGGCGTTAGGGTTGCTCAGCCCCTGGGCTGTTATAACCACGAGGCTGGATTTCATCATCAGCTCACCGCTACTGTACTGCACCGTGAGGTGTGCTTGATGGAAAGAATTCACATGTGTTGTGTGGAAGTCAGCCAGTCGGACTAACCTTTCCTCATCCATAGGAATACCATCACCCTCCAGGATAAAAAAAAACAGATGCAGCTCCTAAGCAGTGGGTGGCCCCTGGTGTATGATGCTTTTGAACGGTCCCTTCAAGTATACCCATACTTAAAGAGGGTAATTTCCCTTATTAATTTTGAGTCACGGGACGGCAGTTACGTTTCAGCTTCAAGTTATTCTTCATGACAAGTTTTTGCTACACTGAAGAATGGTTTCACCTGCCTGAGCAACAACACTTCAAAGCATGGTCCATCACTATCAGTGTGCAATCAAGTGGATATGTTCTTATTGCACAGCATTCCTTACCATTGCTCTTGACAATCAAAGAAAGAGTGCTGAAAATACATCTTGAATGGATGCCACTGAAGATGCTCTTGATGTATCTACTGCTCTATTCTGTTTTCATTGCCTCTTCCATGGACAGATGTATCAAACTGATTGCTTTGGCAGTGAAGTTCAGGTTGGAAACTGCCCAATACCCAACACAACAGAAGGCAACAATGAAGTGGTAAGTGCGCAGCATCTCAGAGTGTAAAGCCTGCTTGCTCTGTAGCAACTTTGCTCACTGAAACAACCCCAAAAAGAATACTTTAAAAAAATGTAAAACAATATATATTGTAAATAAGTGATGCGGCGACAATAGTTTTAGAATTGCAATAAACAGAACGAGCTGAACAGTCATTTCACAAAGGCTTTATTGTGTGTACTTTCTTTGCTGGCCTTATCCTTGCTGAACGGTTGCCGTCAGCTTTTGCAGCGACTTTGAAAACGTCCAATTGATCTCGGAACAGGACCTGAATTGAATGGCTGGTGTTTGTCACTTGGGCTTCTCATTGCATCTTAGAAAACTTACTTTTGCCTTCAGAATTATTGATATGCGTTCCTGGTTTTGGAAATACGGCCCTGGCAAACTGAGTTTCTAAGAACTCTGCTTGTAAAAAGTAAGTTTGCTGAGGCATGAAACACAACTCCTGACCACCAGTCGGTAAAAGCATTGACGCCAGGAAACAAACTCTGCCATGAGGCTGACAGACCGGCATGGCACACTCCGTCTGCTTCATGCACTCTTCTTTCTTCTGTGGGTAGAAAAAAAAAGAAATGTTCCCACACCGGGAATCGAACCCGGGCCGCGGCGGTGAGAGCGCCGAATCCTAACCACTAGACCATATGGGACTCACAGTAATCAAAGCAGCAAACTGCATAGGTAAGGCACTACAAAACCGGCAAGAAAACCCCTGTGGAATCCATTGGCGGTAATTGGTTGGTTTGGTTTGGTTGGTATTATTTCAGTTCGTTGCCTCAACAGTACTGTTACGGAGGTAGCCTCAATTGAAGTATTATTCGTTCTCGTTCTGCTTTTTTGAATGTTGCTGAACAGTTTTCCTCTCCATGCTCTGCTAAATCGTTGCCTGTACGCGCCACGTCTAGCGCCTTGTTTCTACGCTAGCACTTAGCACCTTATTCGTCATCACGCGCTCTTCTTACATCTAGCGCCTTGTTTCTACGCTAGCACTTAGCACCTTATTCGTCATCACGCGCTCTTCTTATCTACATGCATGTGCTAAGTGTTGGTGTAGAGGCAGGGTGTTAGATGTGGCCGTCGCTCTTGCTATATGAGTTCATCGGAGCGTAGGCACAGTTGTTGTTTTCCAGAGTTCTGCTTGTGATGGTATTCTTCTGAATGGTCATCGAAGTAAATCTGAGTATGGTTCAAGACAGTTAGTTGCCTTTCGAGAATATCTCTGGGTTTATGAGCCACATTATTTGGTAGCAGAGGATGGTTTGAATGTTAACCATGGCGGAAACAAAGAGTTCTTTGTCAGTGGCAAGTGACGAGAGTCTGCAAGGAACGGACCAAGTCGGGGCGGACGTAGGTTTGGCGGACGAACAGCAGGTCCCCCGTAGTGGCGGTTCAAGCAGCATTCAGCAGTCAGAGTGAAGGATTTTGGAGTTTCCGATATTGATGACGAAGAACAAGAATATGATGATGAAGAACCGGCGTTCAGCGAAGAATGCCTGAGAACGATGAAGATCAATGCCAAGGCCAATTTCACCAACATTCGAAGACGTTTGCTGACTCGGATAGTGAACGGGGAGGGGATTGGTGATGACGACCTTGGATATCTGGAACACGCGTACTCTGGTGCAGCAGGCGTCGTGGGCGATCTCCTGGGACTGTGCTCTGGAGACGGAGACTTGTCGAAACGGAGGAAGCTGGTTGCGGAGCTGGAAGAGCTTGAGGAGAAGTACAGCGCAGCTGTGAACAGAGCACTGGAAGAAGCCACGTACAGCGCTAGTGTTGGTGGGCGGTTTGGAGCTGGTCATGGTTTGGGATACAGCCAGTACTCGACGGCGAGGTACTCAGCTCCAATGATGACGCCAGATCACTTGACGGAGGTGGGTGCGGAGCGGTCTGACTTTGGCCAGTTGGGGGCCAGGTCAATGCTGTACTCTGGGTCTGCTGGATCTGGGCTGGTGGAATCTGGCATGAAGACTTCTCCTAGTAGCCTAAGTGCCTTGGCCTTTCATGAGAGTCAAGGTGTCACAAGTCCACTCCGGGTTCCAACACCATCTACTGCCAGTACCTCTAGTGCTGATCAGACCAGCAATGGCAGTGCATCAGCGCCAGTGACCGGTTCCGGTGGTAGCAGTGTGTCAGTGGCCAGTGCTAATGATGGTACTGCCAGTAGTACTATGCCAGGCGCAGTCAGTCAGCCAACCAAGAGGAGCAGCGTCAGCAACACCACACTGGGAACGGCCCAGCTGACCAAGAAGTCTGTTCAGTTTAGTCAGAGCCACCAGTCCACTGCCAGCACTCAGTCCAGATTGAGACCAGCAGTGAGTGTGTTATTACCCCCTAGAACGGTCCCTGCAGCTGGAGGTGCAGCTGGAAGTGCATCAACGGTCGTCCCCGCTGTGACAGTCCCCAACACATCCATGGCTCCCCAACCGACTGGGTCCTCGAGCAGCCATATGTATCAGCCTCCACTGACGGGTGAACGACCACTAGCAGCCGACATCGGGCCATGGGCGAGTATGAAGAAAATCACAATACCCACATTCGATGGCGATAAACGGCGCTTCGAGTCCTGGTGGGCAGCGTTTTCCACCTGTGTGGACAAGGCACCGCTAACCGCGGAATGCAAGATGCTTCGACTAAGACAGTATGTCCAGGGTGAGCCGTTGAAAGCCATCGACCGATTCGGGTACACCATCGCTGCGTATGATGCAGCCAAGGCCCTATTGCACCGAAAATATGGCGGAGAGAGGCGCCGAGTTGCCATCCATCTGGAAGAAATTGAGGCCCTCAAACCCGTGCGGAAGGAGCACCCGAGAGACCTGGAGCGGTTCTCGGAACTGCTGGCAGTCGCTGTCATTAACTTGAAGGACTCGGGCCGAGCTACTGAGCTGGCGGCCGGAACCTTCTACCTGACTCTTCTCAAGAAGCTGGATGAGCAGCTGATCACCCGCTACCACCGGTGGCGGCATGAACAAGCTAAGGCTGAGTCGGTAGAGGAGCTGCTTGAGTACTGTACCCAGGAAGCAGAGTTCATGGTCTCCGCTGCGGAGACGAAAGCTGGCTTGATTCCCGTGAGTAAGGCAGAGCCGTCACAGCCAACAAAGGTCCACCGGTCGCCTCGACCAAGCACGTTCGTGACCAGCAGCCAGCCGGCAGCCAAATCACAAAAGTGCATCGTGTGCCAAGGTGAACACAAGCTGTGGCAGTGCCTATCCTTCAAAGCTGCGACAGTGAACAAGCGATGGCGCATTGCCAAGGATTCAGGTGTGTGTTTCCGCTGCCTGGATGTCGGCCACAATGGATGCGACTGCACGCGGAGTCGGCCATGTGGTTTGGACGGGTGCACGAAGCTCCATCATCGCTTTCTGCACGCCACACAGAGCAGAGGCCCTGTGTTTAGCAGCGTGACACGCCCGTCCACACAGGCACCAGCAGCGAACTCTGTCTCAGGGCGTCGGGCAGGACGCGCTATGCCAAACACAGCTAGCACCCAACAGTCGTCCAGCCAAACAGAGCAGCAGACATTCTGCTCCGTCGTCACGGAGGGTTCTCCGTCCACGGAAGAGGAGTGCTACGCCTCCCAGAGCACCCACGTGACCATCAGCCTGAGGACGATACCGGTCACCATCAAGCACGGCGACACAAGCATTCACGTCAATGCACTGTTGGACGATGGCAGCACCATGAGCTACATCAGTGAGGGCGTAGCACACGAACTTGGTCTGCACGGGGAGTTGCAGAGCATCACGGTCAACACGTTGGACGGAACACCGAGTACATTTCAGTCGGTGCATGTGTCTTGCAGCGTAGCAAGTGTCAACGGCATGTTCAGCACAGACCTCCATGCTTGGACAGTGCGGCACCCAACAGGACGCCTGAAGCCAGTCAACTGGCACCGCGGCGCATCGACATGGCCACATCTCAAAGGGATACGTTTCCCTCCCACCGCCAAGCCTGATCGAGTCAACGTTCTGCTCGGCCTGGACTGTGTCGCAGCGCACCAGTCCTTGCACGAGGTGACTGGTAAGCCGGGTGAACCAGTCGCACGGCTCACCCCGCTAGGATGGACCTGTGTGGGGCCGGTACGGGCGAGCCCAGGCAGTTCGCGTATGGGGCATGCGTACCATGCGCAGCTGCAGCTCGGCGGCAATGAGATCAGTCAGCTACTGCGTCGCTTCTGGGACGTCGAGGAGCTAGCCGTACCCGACTTGCCACACTTGTCACCGGCGGAGGAGAAACTGCTCACAAAGACACGGGAATCCCTGGCGTTCAGCGACGGTCGATATCATGTGGGCCTTCCGTGGAAGACAACACCACCGGTCCTGCCCGACAACTTCGCCATGGCACGCAAACGACTGATTGGCACCGAGCGGAAGCTGCTCCTAACGGACGGTCTGGGTACCAAGTACAGCGCCATCATCCAAGAGTACTTGGCAAAGGGCTATATCCGCCGTGTGCCGAAGGAGGAACCACGACCACACAGCATCTGGTACCTGCCTCACTTTCCGGTGGTCCGTCTGGACAAGCAGACAACGAAAGTGAGGATTGTGTTTGATGGGTCGGCGCAGTTCCAAGGCGTCGGAGTGAACGACTTCCTCAACAAGGGGCCGAAGCTGCAACGGGACATCTGCGACGTGCTCCTGCGGTTCCGCAAGCATCCTGTTGCTATTGCCTGTGACATCAAGCAGATGTACCTGCAGATTGGTGTGCACAAATCCGACCGGCCATACCAACGATTCCTATGGCGCAACTGTGATTCCGATGCGCAGCCTGCAGTGTATGAGTTCCAGCGTGTGGTATTCGGACTCGCCTCATCACCATTCCTCGCTCAGTTCGTCTCCCAGGAGCATGCGAGGGTGCTCACCAGTACGGATGAACGTGCGGCTGAAGCAGTCAACAAGTCCACATACATGGACGACACGCTTGATTCCGTGCCAACCGTCGCTGATGGCATCGCACTCTACAAGTCTCTTGTGAAGGTGTGGGAG